ACTAATTGTTGCATTTATTCTAATTATAAAATATGCTAAGCAAGCCAAGCAGAAGATAGCACAGAAATGGCGTTTCATCCAACTAATCAATAAACTTCCTGGGCCAAATTTTTTGGAAATCTTTGCAGAAATACTTCAATTCAAGTTGGACAGTGAACGTATGTTCAGCATAAATAACAGTTTTTTATAATGAATTGTTTGATAGACCTGCAAGTTAGGCGACTAAATTAGACTTACTTTTTGAGGGTGATTAAATGAAATCGTCTGATTAGGTGATCTTCAAAACAGTGATGTCAATGTTATGATATGATGTGTAAAGCAAATCTTTGACATTCAATGGTTTCAAAATCGCATATTTTAGCTTGAATGAAGTGAGAAAAGCATTAAAATTTTTCATTTTACGATGTGATAGAAATTTACCGACTTTAAGTCACTTTTTGTTCAGAAATCACTTATCAGCTGGAAGCGATCTTTCGGAAATATGCCTACAAGCATGATCATGGAATAGTGCGTCTCTGGTTCGGCTTGACACCAACGTTATTGCTGACAAGATCACCAAGTGCTAAAGTTTGTAATTTCCGGAACAAAGTTTTAAGATTTCAAAGCTAATTCTGAGAAATTTTTAAAATTGCAAAATCTTTCTGAAGCGTTAATTTAAACGAATATGCTATAATTGATTTTTTTTGAACTAAATTCTTATTAAAGGTCATACTGGAAAATACGGCATTAACAATTAAAACGGATGACTATGAATTTTTAAAACAATTAACAGGTGATGGGTTATTGGCAGCGTAAGTTAATCTCAGTTCTATGGTTTAATAATAAAAAAAAAAACAATTAAAGTTTCATTAATGTTCCGATTATTTGAAACTAACTGTATTAAATTAATGCCAATAACGACGGAAAAATAGTGATTGAAAAATTTAGTGAAATTTACAGATCCGGTGAAAAGTGGTTCAAAGCAAGACGGATGTTAACGCCAACATTTCATTTCAATATTTTGCATAAATACGTTGAAGTATTTAATGAGCAATCAAAAGTTTGTTGCTTAATCAATGAAAGAACTTATACTGTTTAAACGAAGGGATCCGAATTTTTAAAATTTAATTGATAAATATTTCGTCTATTTATCCATAATAAAAAGTTTACTTTTTCAAAATAAATTTCTTTTTAAACTATGTATGTTTTAGATTTTGCTAGAAATTTTGAATAGGCATTGTGACACTAACGAAACTTTTGATGTGTTACCTTATTTACGATGCTACGGGTTGGATATTATTGCAGGTTTGTTTTTCCACTAAAATTTTATAAAAGCGTTAATCAACGTGTAATTTGAAAATGCAAAATAATTGGCAGTAAATGTTGAGCAACAACATGTACTGGATGGAACGATGCATGGAACTAAACAATCCAAACCTCACTATCAGATTTAGCTAAAGCTGTTTTTCGGTTCCGTATTCTCAATTACTCCGAAAATTTCAGAAACGGCTATGGGTGTAGGAATTAATGCACAAAAAAGCGATTTTGGATATTCATGCAGCATGGGATTACAGTCAGCGGAGGAGTTAATGTGGGCAGGAATCACGTACCCGTGGTATTGGTTTGCACCCATTCGTTGGCTTTCCGGCTTCACTTGGAGATTGAAGCGCTCCTGTGATGTCTATAAAAGACTGACCAAAAAAGTGTGATATTATCTTATCATTTTGGAAAAAAAAACTGGCAAAATCCTTTGTTAATAAAGTTATATTAATTTAAGATCTTTCCCAGAATTAAATTTGTTTCATTGAAGAAAATGTTGAAAAATGCTTCTTTAGCAGCAAATCTTTTTACGTCGGTGCTTTAGTCAATATTTTTCATTTTTTTCAATTGATTCATTAACTTAGAATGTTAATAATCTGCTTTTGAAAAGTTGAGTGGTATATTTTAAAAGGTCGAATAAATTGCATTTTATAAAATTGTTCTGAATTTTTGGCCGCTTCTTCAGGTAATAGCAGCAAAAAAGAAGGAATGGGAAAGTTTGGATAATCAGCCATCGATGGAGAATTTATCCGCCAGCGGCAAGAAGCAGCTCAATTTTTTAGATTTACTCTTCAGCATTCGTGATCAGTACAACTTGACCGATGAAGATATTTGTGATCAGGTTAACACATTCATGTCCGCAGGTGTGAATTTTTAGAATTTTTTAAAAATTGAAAACGTTTTGGCCTAGGAATTTGTCTATTCGAAGGATAACGAATTACTGAAGGATCTGAGATGGAATACACCTTACCTTTTACATGACCTGCCCGTTCTTCCATCGCTCGTAGTACTGATCGTGGAAATAATATTTGATCACGTGATTTAATTAATTAATGAGTGATGGGTACTTTCTTGCCACTCAGGTGATAAGAAAGCGATTTTTATTTTTACCGTCCAGGAAGTAATGGAGTATCGGCACAAATTGGTTTCAACTTATTTGCATTGGGACATCGACAGAATTATCAGGAAAAGGCATACGAAGAAATTAAACGTGTTCTCGGTAATGTTTTCAAAAAAATTTTGCCAAACTATGTGCTCAATTATTTAGAAAATTTCTTCGGAAACACTGATTTTATTTCTTATAAATGCAATAAACGTATATTTTTGTAGGGGAAACGGAACATGACATTACTTTCGATGATATCAAAGAGCTCAAGTATCTGTATCAGTGCATATGTGAGACGAGCCGTATAACGCCAAATGTGATAGCTATAGGGCGCAAATTACACATCGATCTTGACATTTGTGTGTTTTAAATGAGTTGTTACAGCTGAAGCTCACTGATTTTTTAAATATTCTTCCGAATCAAATTATTACTTTTTCAGGTGGCTATACGGTGCCAGCAGGTACCATTTGCTACGTATCGCTATTTGCTGTCATGCGAGATCCAAAGGTTGTTAACTTTTAACTGAATGAGTTTTGTCAGTCTACTTGCTTTCTTTTGAAATTATTTTTATTTTTCAATACTTTATTAGATAGTTAATGAACTGATTTTCACTTAAAACGAATTGGCATGCTGCTTCCTGCTTGCTTTGAAAATTTTCTTTTGTTTTTATTTTATTTGAAAACCCTGGACAGCCATAATAATCAACCGAATTATATTTGTGGCAAATTTTTTGATATTTTAGCATTATGACAATCCAGAAGAGTACGATCCCGAGCACTTTGCTCCTGAAAAGGTGAAAAATCGTGATCCATTCGCTTATCTGCCATTTTCTGCAGGAATTCGAAATTGTATAGGTAAAAGAAATTCATCTAAAATCCCAAACATATTGCGATTTCTTTAAATGTAGAATAAATATCATGCATAACTGAGGAAAACAATGTTCGCTTACCAACTTTAAACTTAAGTTACACTTCTGACGCATAAATATTCGCCACTATCTTTTCTGCATCCGTATTAGGACAAAAAGCGTCTAATTTGGGATTTTATTTACTGTTAATTTAGGCAGTAAATTTGCTATATTCGAAATGATGGTGACATTGGCTCATATTTTGAGACGTTATCGTGTCATCTCAATGCTACCGGAAGCAGAAAATCGACCAATACCGGGACTTTCCCTGAAACCAAGCAAGGGTTTTCCGATTCGTTTGGAAAGAAGATGATAACTGTTAGCTTCATGTTTGTATGAATTTATTTTTATTACAATCCAGTTCAACTAACATAGCTCATCAAAAGATTTAATATAATCGGTGGCACGGTACCTGCATGTACTCCATGTAATCTAATTTGCGGATCACTTATTATTTGCAAGCAGAAAGAATTAAATTTCGGAGACAATTTGATAAACTAATATATGTTGTAGCAATAATTTGACATACTTCTGTATTTTATTTCTTAAGTCATGAATAATGGATAAGTGGATTTTGATGCAGTTTGTAAATGGCTTAATTGTTTGTTAGAAGTGGGCTATAAAAGTAGAAATATACAATTGATAAATTCCACGAAAAGTATCCGAATTCATCTCAAAAAAATAACATATAGTACGGAACTCAGAAGAAAAGAGAAAATGCAATGAATATCACAAACTCAACTCAACTCCTCATGATGTATTTCATGAAATATAAAGAGAAATCTGAAGCAATTCACAATTGCCGAAAAAAAAAATCTACAGTGACAAATAATGCAATGGTATGAACTGCAACAAAATAAAGAGGTTTTGTCCTTGTAAAATCATAAATTTAAAATAGTAAATCAAAGAAAATTTGAGATTTAAACGAATGTTTTGAATGGTGAAAAATGGAAATGACATTTTAAAATGTAAAATAATTATGTAGTCAAAATATTTATGATAATTTCGAATTAGCACTCCAACATTCAAATCTCCTTCATCCACTTATCATTCGATGGTGAACCTACTACAATACCGTCGCTATCTTCAGTATTGATTCAAAAATGTGGTGTGAATTCTGGAGCAGCTTGAGCGCCACTATTCATATCTCTCCAAAAAATTCCAAACATTCGAAAACTCACTTATTTAATTTCATGTCTGAAAAAAAAGTGTCTTACAAGCTTTCAGAGGTTACGATATCATCCTAAGAAATTATAAATTGATAAGTTATAATATAAATTGATAAGTTATAATAGGAAAATACGGTAAACCTATTACAATAAAAAAATTACTATACAACTAATTTCATTCTCTCTATTAAAACAAACAATAAAAAATGGGAATTAATCATTGATGAGATGAAAGAATACGCCGACGATTATAAGCCATAAGTGAGACTAACTTGAAAGTTCCATCTAACTTGAACGAAACTTTTTTGAATGTAACTCATTGCATCGAACCGAAGCGGTAACATTAGCTATGTTCTTTTGAACTGTGACCTGACCAAATCTTTACTTATTCTTTATTTAAACTTTCAAATTTCCAAACAAATTGCTCCAATCCAATCAAGAAGAAATTTTCCTCTATGATTACTATATAGTATTACCTCCAATCTTTCACGAAGAACAAATATTTCTAACGGTAATTGTTTGTAAAGCATATTCAATCGAAAACTTCCACAACAGTTCGTCCCTTCTTTTTTTTTTGTTGAAATATTGTATTATTCTTTAACTTTTCGATTCAGGATGATTTGCATTTCGGAATTGAATGCAACATCGATAAAGGTGCAATAGCTCGAGACATAATGTCTGTCCAAGAATGAATTTCTTATTCACTTCATTTCATTTATTAGTAAGGCTAATTAGATTAAAATGTTCAGTTCAGATCCACATTTGTTGCAAACAGAGACGGAAAAACGAGATTAGAATTTGGTTTGCCGGGAAGGAGCAGACCTGATGTTAACACTTGGTTTGCCGGATTTCTGCAAGAGAAGCACACACCGGATAGTTCATTTGCCCGCCCAGATTGCTAACACCCGGAAGGCGGAATCGAACCACTCCGTCGCTAGACGGCTGCAGGTTTGAAGCCTGCATCTCGGACCACCGAGATTCATCCAGGCGCATCAACTCTTCGCATCTCACCTTATGTAAAACCTTTGATATGTTTTCATTCAGCAATGAGTGGTTTATAAATAACAACAAATTGAAGTTTCTCAGTGTCTGCGTCTCCATTTCAATAACTATCCCTCACTTTGTCTACTTTTTTCTTGTAAATGATAAAACTGTTGAAATGATAAAAAGTGCTAAACGATGCTAAACGACCTATAAAATTCTTCGTGTTATCCCACCACAAGATTTAACCCAGTCCAAACACTTCTTCTCCAACTGTGCTCGGTGATACTGTCTCCAATGAAATAGCATCTTTTTTTGCATCCATAGCGAATCTCGTTTGATCACTTGTGCAGCTCGAGCGAAGTTAATCAGTGCAAGAATATCTTTTGTAAATGGGTCACATCGTTATCTCACTCATCCTTATCTTCCTCAGATATCACTCCATCTTTCCTCGATTTTTCCTTTTAAACTCATTAGCTTACAGTGATTTTTGCTCTCTCTAGCACCTTGCGTTTCTTTTATCCGTTCATTCTGTCACACGGCAATACTAATTGATCAGCATTTCTTTTCCATTATTTCTCTGTCGCATATATGTTGGTTACTTTGGTTACTATTTATAATAGATTTACATAGCTTTATTTCAGTCACTGATAGTCTCTAATCATTTATCACTTTCAATTTTAGTTATTAGTATTATTTTTTATTATTATAATTGATTAGGAACACGTAAATGCAACACTAATAAATAGACGTGTAAATGCATATTGGTTAAATAAAAACTGTTATTTCAATGCACCCCACAATAACATATGAGTCTAATTTAAATAAAATCCAATTTCAAACAACAATGAGCAGAATAGGATTTAAAAAATATTTTAAAATATGATATATGGTAAAGTAAGAGGCAATATATCCAAAAGAAAAACAACAGTAAGACACAGTATCTCTATGAGGTCAAGAAACAAAACCGCTAATATGAGCGCAGAGATTTCAGATTATTGTATTAATCATTGGAATCTTATAAATTTTGAGCGTAATTGGACGTTTAAACTAGCAATATAAAAAAATTTTTTTCAAGACAGTCCAGAATATAAGGGATTTATAAATACTTAAAATGGCAATTTATAAATGAAACAGTCAATTTATTTGGATTTTTTTATTTACATTCCTGGAATGAACGGGACTTTTCCCTAACACTAAACCTGAGTAATTTGTTGAAAAATATTTGAGCATTGACAACATGAAATATATTCTGAACACAGAAAAATAACATTTCAGGACTAATTACAGTCACTAAATTTTTAAGGCTATTTATCGAAAAAATCTTTTGCAACAGAGTTGCGTTCACCAGAAACCACATGAATGAGGATCAGAAAAATACACTTCCCACAAAGCAATAGTGATTATTAATGCATTTTACATATTAAAATGTATGAAATAGATAAATTTAAAAATACGAACATCTTTGGTATACAAATAAAAGCGAACCGTTCTATTACTAAACATTATTCACGGATTCCCTCGTAGGACAAGCTGCTACACAGATATTTCCTTTCAGCGATAAATTTACATAGGAGATATTAAAAACGAATAAACCGAACCTTAATAAAATTAAATTTATAAGAAAGCTAAAACTAGGGAAATTTTTAACTGTTTTCAATGAAAAAAAAGTTATAATGAAGATGAAAGCATGAGACGTTCCCTTAAAAAAAAGTACCGGAAACTAAAGGAGCTAAACTACGAAATTTACTGCTGTACATTAGCAGACGCCAAAAATTTTTGTTGTCGCCGTGCAATTTCACGATTGATTTCACGCCGAAAACGTTCATATTTGATTGCAATATCAATACCTTCTTGCTTGTATAACTTCATCAACTGACTATCATACTGCTCCAGTTGGGGTAGGCGGAATAACGGCCACTATAATCCATTTCAAGGTCATTTTTATTATTTATATTTAAAGACCAATATATAGCGTGAGACAATAAAAGATGCATCGATTTTCCAACTAAGATTTACCTTTCTCAATGAATTTCGGTACATTATTTCTTAAAATATTCATGCTTCCATAATTATAAAAACATTAAAATGAACTAACCTCCAGCAAATGATCTAATTCATATGGAGCACGAGAATATAAACGGAGCCAATCTGGGATATCTATAACTAACATAGATAAAAATCTTATTAGACGA